CCTGACGGAGCGGGGACGGGACCGCAGCGACCGTGGGGCTGCGGGGACGGGTGGCCTCGGGAACACGCTCTTCTGGGGCTGGCCTTTCCCCCGCGATAGTAATTATGCTCCCTGCTTGAGGCCTCTGCGGGCGAACCCATGCGCCCCAAACCGAGACCTTGGGGTGTCCTTCAGCAAGTCAAAAACAGAAGCCCAGTCCCCATCCTGTGGGCACCAGTCTCCAGAGGGGGAGCTGCGACCTTCTTAGGTGCTCAGAGGACTGTGTGCCTGGAAGGGGAGGGGCAGGCTCCCCGGGAGCCCAGAGGGGGCTGTGGTTGGGGGGCCGCCCCTCCACTTCCAGGGGCAGGCCAGCTCCCCAAAGAGGTGTTTGCAGTGGGAGGAGGAGTGAGTCCACCCTCCTGTCCCTGTGCATCCTTCTGTCTACCTGGAGGAGCAGGGACGCCACCTGGCCCTTGCTGCTCCATCATGGCCAACTCCTGGTCTTGGGCGCCCTCGAGGGTCCCTCTTCCAGAGGCAGAGCCTGGCACAGGGCAGCTGCGGGGCCCATTGGAGCTGCGGGTGTGATCTGCAGAGGAGACAGGGCCAGGCCACACTTCTGGAGCCCACGTGAGGCTGCCTCGCGGTGGAATCCTGCTGCTGTTTATCAGTGCACTGCACGGATCAGCCGACAGCCCGGAGTGTGCTGGTTTGCTTGCTAAGGCCATAGTGTTTATGACTTTTTACGAGCTGTTCTGAAGACGGCACAGGGTAGAGCCAGCCTGACGGGCTGGCTGGATTCTGATCCCCTGATGGCAAGGGAGTTGCTTCTAGTGACACAAGCCACTCACATTTGACAGGCTAATGTTTATAGGTGTTTCCAAGCAATTAAGCAGGATATTTTGAAATCCCTCTCCCTGTGGAGGAGGCAGGACCGGTGCCCTCATCTTTATTAGCCAGTGGCCATAAAGGTGGGCCATGAACTTCCCCACTGCTATCAGCCCGGGCATCGCAGGTGTGGTCACACCTGGGCTGTCTCTCCTGCAAGGTGGAAAATGAGAGATATCTCATCAGTGGAGCCTTCTGGTTCCGCCCTTGATCTAACGCCCTGCCTGACTTTAGTAAACAGGAGACCATCACTTTGTTCTGGTGACTCAGGTCTGAGCCGGGCTGTGGTGTGTGGGCAGCGCCCACTGACCCTCCAGGTCTTGAGCTCTGCTTGCTTCAGCAAGTCCCTGTATCATGTGGGATTTACCCTCTTTTCCAGAAAGGTGCCCTACAAGCATGTCCACCTGGGTAGTGACCCTGGCTGACTTTTTTTTAATGCATTAATTCAGTTTAATTAATCTAAGATCAAACCAGTCTCGTCAGTGTCCAAAACTTGAATAGAATCACAGTTTTGTCTGCATCCTTTAGCTTCATCACCATAGCAGAACACACTTATTTTATTTTTGCTTAGTTTGTTACCTGTATCAAATGTGGAAATCGTAAAATTTTATCATCAGTGATCATTAAAGATGTGTTGAATTTTTGCAATCCCAGCAATTTGGCATAAATAGACATTTTTTTTTTAGGTCTGCTGTGGTGCTGGATATTTAGAGGTGAGAGATTTGGGGATGCTAGATTTTCTGGTAGGAACCAGCACAGACCACAAGTCTTTGACTTCATTCAAAGGCCCTCTGGGTTCCAGGCCGGGGGACCCATGGTTTTACTTTCGTGAGTGGTTGTCTAAACGGGGGTCTTCTACCTCACATGTTACTGATTTTAGTGTGAAAATTCCTATGCCATGTGCCTAGTTGGATTCTGTTGATGTTTTAGGAGAATGAGAGAAAGGAGGTTCGGGAGGTCCTGGGGTGGGCGTGGACCTTTCTCTGTGGGCTAGTGAAGACATTAGCTAAGGGAGAGGTAACAGGGAACCTTATTTCTTGTGTGTCCACCTTCATTTTGTTCCTAGTCCTCTTTTTTGCCAAGTGTCTTCTGATTGAGTGGAGCCAGGTGTAGCCCACAAGATGTATATGTTGGATGTGCGGGCCGGGACGGTAGCCCCCAGACCCACGTCTGCCTCCTCTTGTGCAGCCTGGGGTTGGCCACCTGTTCCAGAGAGGGTTCCCTCTGCCCCTGCCTGCTTTGGTGATGGCAGTGGGCTTCCCTAGTTCCCCCTCCGCTTCTTGGCTGGAGGCGATGCTGTCAGAAGTGTCCAGAGCTTTGGGTGTGGGGACACTTCCTCAACCCTTAGGACTCCCCTAGAGGGAAGCAAAGCCTCAGATAAGATGGTTTATATGGGAGAGAGAGTTGAGGTTTGGTGCCTGGGCAAGTGTCCAACTGCCCCTTCATGCTGGAGACAGGAGAGGAGAGACGCCACGATGAGGTTTGTTTTGGCTGCATCAGAACAGAGATGATTATAGTCATGTGTGTCAGCCACTCACCATCTAGTCTAATTTTCACACAGGGCTGTAATTATGCCCATCCCCACATACATGTCAACTGAGCTTGTGAGTTTTATTGACTGTAATTTGCAGGGCTTTTCTGTGTGCAGTAGCTGGCTGCTCACAGCCCAGGGCCTTGTGGGGGTGGGGAGCAGGTCAGGAGGGGGTTCACCCCTCAACACCGCCCTCTGATGTGGTCCACAGGGTGACTGTGCAGCCCCAGCCTGCAGCTGGCCATAGCATGAAAACTGAGGGCCCAGAGTGTGAGTCACCCTGCAGTAAATGCAAACCATATGTTATGCATTTTCTCCTCTGCAGAAAGGGTTTCTGGTAACTCGCTCAGGTCAGGGCTGTGGATATAGCATTGTTTATTTCACATAAAAAATCCGAAGAATGTGGGTGAACCTGTCGGAGATCTGATCAGAACCAAATTTCATGTAATAAAACTCTCAGTTGAAGTCACTGGTCGACTTCCCGGCCCACTTGGTGGTTATGACGTCACCGTTAACGAGGAGCTGACATTTACATTAAAGTTGTGAGTAGGAGAAACTTTAACGTTCTTGATGGTTTCAAATTTCTCGAAAACATAACTGTTCTCTGCTCAAGACCTCTCTCACCAAGAGTGTGACACGCTTCATTTTTTCCTATTTAGCATTTATCAGAACTGAAATTAACTTGTTACTTAAAAAATTCCCATTGGGAAGACGAGGTGCCGCACCTCCAGCCTTGCTCAGTCCTCCTGTTCGCACCCAGACCCCAGCCCGAGAGGCCGTTCTCCTGGCTTTTGTAGTTGGTCTTGGCTTTAGTGATATTCGAGCTTGTTTTAAAAAATCTGATTGGCAATGCAGGGTCTTCAGGCTTGGAAATGAATGAAAAAGTGATGCAGTCATCACCATGAGGAAAATACAAGCATCTATGCCTAACGGCAGGCGCTACAGGGCAGCCGTCCACAGCAGCCTGCTCCCCAGACCGCCGGCGCTGCCAGTGGTGTGAAAGCTGCTCTGCGGAGCGAGTGACTGTTCACTACACGTGTGTTGATGCCACGGAGCCTCCTGTAGTTTTAGTCTGTGCCCGTTTCGCACACTCAGAGGGACTCCATCATCATTTCCCACTGTCGAGCTGGCCCTCGCTGGAACTTGGGTTGGTGCCCGGGTCCTGCTGGTGCTTCCTTGGTGTTTCGGAAGTATCCATCCCTTCCTGGGTTCTCACTTCGCCATACTGGTGGCCTCCAGCCTCCCAGATTCAGGGACACCACTGAGACTCGGTCACCTGCTGCTGCAGCAGTGAAGGCCGGTGTGCACTGCGCGTCCGAGGGTGTGACAGGGTCTGGGAGGCAAGAGCTTTGCCCTGACCACCTGCACTGACCAGAGCTTTGGCCCCACCCACCTTGGCTCTTGGAGCAGGTGCACTGGAAGGAAACGGGGGGAAGGCAGGCACAAGTGACCATTGCGGGCACCCGCGCTAGCAGCGGCCGGGTGGCTGAGGGGTCCTCTCCGCTGCGTGGGGGCGGGCGCGGGGTGCTCCTGGCCAGCTGACCGTGTCTCCCCTCCCCGCAGCGGGCTGACACACGAGGCGCACAGGAAGGAGGTGGAGCAGGTGTACCTGCGCTGTGCGGCGGGCGCCGTGGAGTGGATGTACCCGACTGGGGCACTCATTGTCAACCTGCGGCCCAACACCTTCTCGCCCTCCCGACACCTGACCGTGTGCATCAAGCCCTTCAGGGACTCCTCGGGGGCCAATATTTATTTGGAAAAAACTGGAGAACTGAGGCTGCTGGTGCGGGACGGGGACGGCGGGCTCGGCGGGGTGCAGTGCTTCGGCCTGGAGCAGGGCGGCCTGTTCGTGGAGGCGACGCCCCAGCAGGACATCAGCCGGCGGACCACGGGCTTCCAGTACGAGCTGATGAGCCGCAGCAGGGGGTCGGACCTGCACGCGCTGTCTGGTGAGTGGCCTCCTGGGTGGTGGTGTCACGCGGGCGCAGCGGCTTTCTCGTTCTGCCATTGGCGATTTGCCCGACGTCCCTGGTTTTCTCACCCCCCTCCTCTTGGCCTCTGTGAAAACGCTGGAGTGCCCATGCTTTGGGTGTGGTGGGTGTGCCCGGAGAGCCCCAGGGCACCTGGTGGATGGGCCCTCCTGGGGGAGCTCTGGTGTAGGGGTGTCGATGCCGAAACTAAACCACCTTTGAAATGCAGCCTTTTCAACTAAAACCACCTTTGAAAAGACTGGTTACATCTGGTTTGTGGTGTCCCTTTAGTGTTCTGGGTGTTTTTGACTTGGGGGAACAATGTCTGTCTCCCAGGAGGTGTTTGTGGGGTGAGCAAGCCCCCTGGAGAACGGCTGCGTGGATTGGGGTCCCAGCCCCCTGATTTGCTCCTTTGCCTGTGGACGGGTTGCAACTCATGTGAAACGGAGGCTTTTACTGTTCACACCGCCCCATGAGTTGACGGGGTGCTTTTAGTGTCGGATGTAGCCCCGAAACATCGAGTTTTGGGTGGGGAGCAGAGTCTGGCTTCAGTACGGTGCGGCACAGAGCTGTGTGTCCCAGAATGAGGCTGAGCCTGGGTTCCAGAGGCGTTTGTGGGTGGGTGGTGGTAAGGACTGAGAAAGTCGCTCCTGTGTCTGGGGAGGGCAGGGGCTGATGGCCGCAGAACGCTGGCAGAGCAGGAGGCGGCGCACACCTGCATGGAGAGGGGCCGTGAGCCGGTGAGAGTGGCCGGGCGCCCACCAGGGGGGTTGCATGGAGCACGCCTGGGGAGGAGCCCTCTCCCGGGGAAGCTGCGCAGCCACGGAAAGCTGCAGGGTCCTCTTGGGACAGTGGCTGTGATGATCTGGGGACCTTAGGTGAGGTTCTGGAGGGAAAAGTCTCTCCGTGGCCACGTGGGCCCTGAGAAGCCATTGACAGGGAGTGTGTGGCGCAGAGACTGTGAGCTTGGCTTTAGAGCTTTTTGCTTTCTTTCCTTGAGATGGGCAGACGGTTTTCCCTGCGTGGTGAGCGGGTCCTGGAGGTGTGGACTGGCATCTGTGGACACCTGAGCTTGGGGGAGTTCCTCCTAGAACTTTGGGACCAGGCCCCTTTCTGGAGGGCAGTGTTGGTTGCTAGAAAGTTCTGTCGGTGACACCAGGGAGGCTCAAGGTCCTGAGAGGGCTGAGCAACTCATGCAGCCACCCGAGAGCTCTCACAGCGGTGGTTGGCTTCGGGACCCTGAGGCTGGGGCAGGGTAGATCCCACCCCTGTGGCAAGCCTGGGGTCCCGTCTATTAGGGACACCTGGGCCAGGCACAGGTTCCAGACAGCACCTGTTGGGGTTCCAGTATGCAGGGCAGCAAGGTTCTCCCCCACCACTGGGGCTCCTGAGACCCACATGGCCCCTGTTGGAAAAGTGTGAGCTTGGATCATCCAGGCCATGTCCCTGCGAGCAGGTTCCAGGGGGCTGTTCTGGCTGCCAGGGTCGTGGTCCCCCAGCGCACTAGATGTCTGTCCCAACACATCCTGATCTGGCCCCAAGTGTCTGCAGTGCCCAGTGGGAGACAGCTGTTTTGAGGGGTGGGCCATCCCCCAGGGTAGTACAATCCTCACATTTTAGTGAATGAAAGATTCTACTGGAGAAAACCAGAGCCAGTAGGTTTGAAATGTACAGACTTTCCTCTTGAATGTGAATCTACATTTTATTGTTCTATGGTCTTGGCTCCTACCAGTTTTCAAAACCTTAAATCTCTCTCAGACTAAACTGGCTTGTTAAAGAGCTTTAGAGTGGGGCTGCCCCATGGACCCTGGCTCAGAACCGCAGGGCTGGCAGCTGATGTGAACTCCGCAGTGCTGTGGTTGGCTGGACACCGAGGAGAGATCACCAGCAATTCTGGGGGTGGGAGAGCTGGGGGAGGCAGCCTCGCTATGGGGGCCCTGCAGATAAACTCACAATAAGAACAAAGTCTGGAAAAATCCGAACACCGAGTTTGGCCTTTCTGATTGTGGTTGATAGCCCACTAGCTGGTGGCAGAGAGCGCCAGACCAGATATTAGGAACTTGTGAACATTCCTTTCGCTGATGAAAATGTTGATTGGCTTGGAGGACATTGGGCTCCTGGTCACATGTTCTTCCGTGGCCCAAGCTTTGTTTTACTTGTACTTTGTGATTCTTAAAGAGGCCGCAGGCATCACCACAGGTCACTGCTGTGCGCACCGGATGCTTCACGTTTGCACAAGTCAGATTTCTGGTGGAAGGCGAGCTCATCCCTCAGGGAACAGAGACTGTTTTTCTCCCGTCTCCGGGGACAGGTTCTGTGTCCCCCAGGCCCTTGTGTCCATTTTCCAGGCCCAGGCAGTGAGTAGGTTTAGGAGAGGCCCGTGGGGGTGGGTGGTTGAGCTGCCTTGGGTGCCCTGGGGTCACAGGGAGGTGACAGTCCTGCCTGATTAGTGACCTGGCCTGGGGCAGGCTTTGAGGTCAGGTGCAGGCCTCTCCTGGGGAGAGCAGCTCCAGGCCCACTCGAGAGGCCTCACCCTCCTGATGGGGTCAAGGGGCTGGAGGATTGAGGAGGCCGATGCGTCTCTTCTCCTTGGGGTATTCGCCTTTCATCAGGGGATGGGGCCCCCTAAGCCTTTAATGCCGCAGGAATGGGTACATAATGTGGAATGTCAGTGCCGGCCATCTGGCAGCAGCCGTGCACCGTGCCCCGGGCCAGGCCTGCTCCAAGCTCTCTCTGGCCAGTGCCACGGTTCCTTCCTCTCCTGTTCTGGCTGCGCCGCAGCCGCAGGAGGCCTGACAGCAGCCGAGCCCAGGCAACGTCAGTGCGGCTGGGGTGTGGGCGCTTGCGCTTGGCCTGGCGATGGCTGTCCTTCCCCCCGGGAGGCGGACTCGCTGATGAATCAGAAGCTCTGGTTTGTGCTGACTTGAGAGAACAGAGGTTCCGTGGGCTGGAATCCCGACAGGAGTGTCGTGTGTGTGTGAGCGAGCCTCGCTCTCTGCCCAGCCAGGAGGAAACCTGCTGCTGTTCCGGACGGTTCTGCCGGGAGCGTTTAGAGCGCGTTGGCTGCGAGTCCATTTATGTTGCGTAATCGGCTTCCTTGTATAAACCTATAAACCGAGACACATCAATAGCCAAGAACAGAGGGCCACACCCCCAGGGGTGCATGCTGGAGGTCAGGTGAGAGGTGACCCGGCCTCCACCTGGCAGGACCTGCTTGCCCCGTGCCTGGCTCCCCTGGGGCATGTCTGGGGTACCCGAGTGACATGCACTCTCCTCTGATGCTTAGGAGATCTGGCAGGACGCTGGAGCAGCCAGGTCAGACTAATGGATCAAACTCCAGGCCATGCCCGGGACATTCAGAGGACTTGGTGGAACCGGCTGGGGCTGTCTGGGCCCAGCACATTAGGGTTGCCCCGTGGGTTGGGGGGACATGTGGGTGGCCAGGGAGGGCAGGGGGCTCCATCTGGTTTTAGGGAACAGAGACAGACCCCGTCTCAGGATTCGGGGCTGTTATCGTACCTCTCTCAGGGGCCAGAGTTGGGTGCTCACGGCCTGGCCACACCTGTGCTCTGGGGTTTGGGCTCCTTGTGAGGACCACCAGTGCAGGCCCCCGTGTGCAGGGGTCCAGGGCAGGGGCCGGCGGCGTTTTAGACACTCAGCTGCTGGGGAAGGGATTTAGCATGCAGACGTTACTTCCTGCGCTGGCTCTCAGCCTGGGGCAGGCGTGGGTCGGCCTGGCCTGCAGTTTCTGACCAGGCTCATCTTCCCGTCCCCTTTAAAACCTGCGCTGCTTGCCAAGCCCGTGGACAAATGACCGGCTCTGTGGGCAGAGAGCCCCTCGCTGACAACCCCCCAGGAGCCTGAGCGTCTGGGGATGGTGGCAGAGTCTGGGAGAGCAGGAGAGAAACCTCATTACCCCCTGGAGGCAGAGAAGGAGAGGGCGAATTTTCCCCGAGGCTATTTCTTGCCTTGGTGGCTCCTCTCAGGCCACTGCAATCATTCTGTAATTATTTTTCATCTTGACCATCTCCAGCTTGTGGGGAGGAAGGGAGTGGCCAGGGGGAGGGGGAGGGAAGAGGCCGGAGGGGGTGGAGCCCAAGTGTGGGGTTCTGGCCGGGGCCACAGTTGTCCATTGGAGCCTCGAGTGGCAGCTGCACCTACCCTGTCACCGGCTGCATTGGAGACCCCAGCGGGGGTCGACATGCGAGGCCTTCCATGTGGACCCCGAGTGCACACACCCTGAACATCCTTCCCTGGCAGCACATTCTGCAGACCCTCCTCAGCATCCAGCATCTTTACTGTGGGCGCTGCCTGCACTGCTTACGCTGGCCAGGCCCCCACTTGGGTCCCTCTGACCCTGTTTTCCTTCTTTGCTCAGTTCATTTTATGAACGTTTCTGAGACATCCACAGCCCAGCCCTCCCCTCCCCGAGAAGGGTGGACCAGAATTCCAACCCTTTGCCCCCTCCCGGTGTACTCCCCACCCCACCCCCACCACCAGCGCATTCCACAGCCTTTAGGAGCCGGACCCCGATTAATAATCATTTCCAGATCACTGCCCTTGGAGCCCACATGGAGCTTTCTATGAAGGTGACCTGTGAGCTGTAAGTCTCAGATTTGGAACCGGGAGGTCTCCAGGGTGGCGCTGTATTAGCTCAGCTGTTGATGGTATCGCGCTCTGAGGCTTCTGGCTGGCAGGACCTAGGCTGCTGACTGCCCTCCCCTGGACCCCCAGGCCTTCTGCAGTCGGGTGGGCGTGAGCCAGGGTGGGGTGCAGGACGAGCTCGCAGCCACCGCAGGCGGGGAGTGTCTGCATCTTGCTTCTCAGTGTCCTCCGGGGCCCTGGAGCCTGTGACTCACAGTGAGTGTGAAGCTCCAGGGCCCAGCGACACTCGCCGCCGGGCCTGGGGTCCCATCTCAGTGTGTGGCTGGGGTGCTGGCCCCTCCGCAGTGCCAGGTGTTTGCCTTTGCATGTGTGGGGGCTGCCCAGCTCGTGTCGGCTGACCCAGAACCTGGGAAGTGCTTCGAAGCAGCATGTGTGGACCCTCACCTCCTGCCCCTGTGCCTGCCCAGCTCCAGCCGCTGCCTCCTTCCAGGAGCTGCCACTGGTGAGGGGACCCTCGGGCTGTGCTGCGATCACCGTGGGCTTAGACTGCTTACCTGCCCTCTCGCTGCCAAGCTGACCCCACTCACACAAGGGACCCCAGCTCGGGGTCTCTGTCTAATACGTGTGTCAGCGAGGCATGTGGGTCCACACAGGTGAACAGAGGGCCACAGAGACCCCCACGGGAGTTCCCTAGGACCCCTGAGCAGCTCCAGGGCAGGAGGCTGCAGTGGGAGCCCATGCGCATGTCTGCAGGAAGGTGAGGGGACTCCTGGAGCCCTGCTTGGGGTGGGGGTCCAGGCACATCGAAGGCTTCCCAGGGTCTGGCTGTGCAGCCTTGCCCAACCAGTGTGGGCTGTGGGACTTGGAACTGGGTGGGAGGCACTCAGCAGGGGGACCTCACTCTGTGCCTTCTCCTGTTTTCTGACAATAGAAGTGAGTGCATGGGCAGCTGGTGGCAGATGGGCCCGTGAGCCACAACGGTCATGGCTGGGAGGTGTACGCCCCACCCCAGCCTGAGGGAGGTGCCCACCTCACCCCCAGGGCGGTCGGGGAGGAGGCTGTGGCTCCAGACACATCCACCCAAGGGTCCGCAGAGACCCTGCGCTTGCCCAGGATGCTGCAGGCTCCAGGGCCTGTCTCTGGTCTCTGCTGACCCCAAGGGTCCACAGACACTGGGGACCCCAGAAAGCCTCCCTGAGCTTCTGCTTGCCTGGAGATGCTTCGCCTCTTTGCCAAGGCCGAGGTGCTGGACACGTACCCAGCTGGAGTCCGCATAGCCACGGGGCAGGTGTGCAGACGGCATTTGCTGCTTCCAGGGCCAGGGAACCCCAAGGCAAGAGCTGTCCTGGCAGAATGTGAATGTCAGAGGAGAAATTTGTTTCACTGAGATTTCACACCTCCAAGTTTCTGTGAAGTTAGAATTTGGGCCAAAACCTGGAACTTGGAACAGGTGGGAGAAGGCCTTTCATTCAGAGTAAATAATACAACTGTATTTTCCTGTCTTGTCCTGAGCACAGGGACAACGTGGTCTGCAGGGTGAGCCACCAGAGCATGAGATTTCTGTCTCGCAGTGGCTCGCCCATCTGAGGAAGCAGGGCAAAGGGTGGGGTGGGTGTGGGTCCCCAAGGAGAGGTTATTGTGTAAGTCTGGCTTGGCCAGCGTGAAGCTCATTCTGAGAAGACTCAGCACTTTCTGGGTTCTCTGGAAGAAGCCAGGCTCCACTCCGCCCCAGGTTTGGGAGCTTCAGGGGGATCTATGAACAAGGCTCTGCTTGAAAGGCGTTTAGGGAGTGCGCCTTGTCCCAGGGCCAGGTGGGGTCTGGGGAAAGGACAGAACCGACGGCCCCAACCGCTGCTGCTGATGAGCCCCGTGCCGCAGCAGGCAGACACGTCCCTCCCTGTTCACTGACCCCCCTGGGCCCCGTGGGTCCTTCTAGGCAGTGCCTGGTCCTTGCAGGGAGTGACCCTCCTTTTGGATTGTGGCTGCAGATGAGGTTGTGGGGTGGGGTGGGCTGCTTTTCGAATGTTCTGGCAGTCAGGGTGGTCCCGGCATTTCGGGGCATGGACGTGGAGGCAGGGGTGCGGGGACCCTTGGCCGGATGGTGTGAGGGACACGGTTTCCGTTTAGCTCGGGCCGGTTCTGCACGTGTGATGGGCGTGGAAGGGTGAGTTTTAAGTGAGTGGACTTACTGCTCATCTGCACAGCTGCACTGACGAGGCGAGCGTGTGATGAGCACGAACGCCCTCAGTGAGGTCACAGGGCTGTGGGGGGCCCGAGGGTCTCGCTCTCGGGTGTGTCCCCGTCACAGACACAGTGCGAGTGCTCTCGGTGCAGGTGGGCCGAGGGGTCCCCGGAGTTAGTCCCCGCTGTGGCGAGGTTCTGCTCTGCCGGCCGCGCCAGCTTGTGCCCTGACTCACCTTGCAGGTGGTGTTGGCTTGCAGGTGCTGTGACACAGGCTGCTCCCAGGCTTTGCGTTGCCGAGTCTGACCACAACACGTGCGTTCAAGTGCAGGCTGGGGTGTCCCACCCTTCCGACCTGTGGGGGCTTGGGAGGGTCTGTCACCAATGACATTCACGACTGTGGTGGACAGCGTTCTGGGACCTGCTCTGTCCAGGCGGCTCCCTAACCTTGTTCTCTCCTCCCCAGCCCCGTGCCGCCCTTGCAGTGACACCGAGGTCCTCTTAGCCGTCTGCACCAGTGACTTTGGTGAGTGTCCACCTTCGTGGTCTTTTCCTCTTGTGCTCATGGTTTCTACCGCGTGGAGCCCGTTAGGCCCGGCAGTCCCTCTTCCAGTGCTGGCATTAAATTCCCTGGGGTGGGGGGCTGTGCTGTAGCCACCGGAACGGGCTGTCCCCGTTACCCGCCTCCACTCGGAATCACTGCAAGAGGCGCTTTTCTTTCTGTGCTCTTAAGTGGGTCTCCATCCCCGGGACAAGGACTCCGCACATACCATACGCACGCGCACATACCATACGCACGCGTACATACCATACGCACGCACACACGGAGAGCTGGGAGCTGACATTTTTGGTGATTATTGAGCATTTTCCCACTTTGCAGATGAGACCGTTGCTCTCTGAGGGGACTCTTAACGTCCTCGTTTTCCAGCGACTCTTCACTCGGAAGTGCTTTGTAAACATCGTTTTATCGGCAGCCTGGAGCGCCCCGGCAAAGCCGCCACCTCAGGGATTCTGTTCCTTCCCTGTCCAAGTCCCCGGGAAACTCCGCAGTGGGCGTTCCGAGGCCCTGGGGGACTCAGGCTGAGGCCTGAGGGACGCGAGCCCCCTGCTTGTGGCGTATGCACAGACGCTCCTGCAGAATGGTTTGGGCTCTGAGTCCCTGCCGTGGTGGTGGTCGCGGGAAGCCACCGTGCAGCTGCACCCTGGCTCCAAGCCCCACCCCGGGCTCTGAGGACAGTTACGCAGTAGAATATGGAGGCTCTTCACTTCCCTGCTCTCTGGGCCTCCAGGCGTAGGATCAGGGCCGGGCAGGGGTCTCCGAACAGCCCCCGCCAGCTCTGCCCCCACCCTTCCCACAGCTGCACCGTGTCTGCCTGGTCACGACACGGAGCTGCACGGCCTCGTGTCTCAGCTGTGCCTGCTTTTCTTGTTTTAACTGGAAAAGCTGACGCACGGTGTGGTTTGTGTCCTCTGCTCCCCACGTGTGTGCCTGGCCCATAGCAGGAGTGTCCCTCTGACGAAGTCGAAGTCTCTGGTTGACCCTCTCTCAGCTTTCTGCTGTTCAAATTGTGCCTTTCAATGGGATTCGTACGTGGTGGAGTTCAGGGTTCAGCTCCCGATCCCGATGCCCGTTGTTGCTGGGATGCGCGGTGGCCTTGCTGGACGCCTGCCCTTGGCCCCTACTGACCCCTGTCTCCTTCCTTCCGCAGTTGTCCGAGGCTCCATCCAGGACGTCACCCACGAGCCAGAGCGTCAGGAGTCGGCCATCCACTTGCGAGTGGACAAGCTGTACCGGCAGAAGGGCAGGGTCTTCCAGCCGGCTCCCGAGGGCGACAGCCACTGGCAGGGGCACGTCCTGACACTGCTGGAGTGTGGCGTGCGGCCGGGGCACGGTGACTTCCTCTTCACCGGCCACATGCACTTTGGGGAGGCGCGGCTTGGCTGTGCCCCACGCTTCAAGGACTTCCAAAGGATGTACAGGGACGCCGAGGAGAGGGGGCTGAACCCCTGTGAGATCGGTGCAGAGTGACCACAGGGTGACCCGGGGCATCACCCCCTCTCCTGATAAGCCACTGCAGGCTGCCGCGGATGCTCGAATCCTGCTGGGGGCCGCACGCTGGGGTCCGCACGCCCCGGTGCTGGCTGGGCCCTGGTGTTCAGCTGTGGAGGTTCATGCCACGTTTGACCCCACAAGGTCTCAGCTGAGGATGCCCTGATCAATTGGAAATGCTGTAAAATGCAAACTAAGTTATTACATTGTTTTTGTAAAAAGGAAATGCCCACAGGAAACAAATTCCCATGTCCTAAAATGCCTTGGTGTGCCATTTAATATTGTGTTTTTAAACACATCTTAAGTCACTGCATTTGGGCTGTGTGTTGGGTGGAGTGCCAGCCCGCGGNACATACCATACGCACGCGTACATACCATACGCACGCACACACGGAGAGCTGGGAGCTGACATTTTTGGTGATTATTGAGCATTTTCCCACTTTGCAGATGAGACCGTTGCTCTCTGAGGGGACTCTTAACGTCCTCGTTTTCCAGCGACTCTTCACTCGGAAGTGCTTTGTAAACATCGTTTTATCGGCAGCCTGGAGCGCCCCGGCAAAGCCGCCACCTCAGGGATTCTGTTCCTTCCCTGTCCAAGTCCCCGGGAAACTCCGCAGTGGGCGTTCCGAGGCCCTGGGGGACTCAGGCTGAGGCCTGAGGGACGCGAGCCCCCTGCTGGGATTCTGTTCCTTCCCTGTCCAAGTCCCCGGGAAACTCCGCAGTGGGCGTTCCGAGGCCCCGGGGACTCAGGCTGAGGCCTGAGGGACGCGAGCCCCCTGCGTGTGGCGTATGCACAGACGCTCCTGCAGAATGGTTTGGGCTCTGAGTCCCTGCCGTGGTGGTGGTCGCGGGAAGCCACCGTGCAGCTGCACCCTGGCTCCAAGCCCCACCCCGGGCTCTGAGGACAGTTACGCAGTAGAATATGGAGGCTCTTCACTTCCCTGCTCTCTGGGCCTCCAGGCGTAGGATCAGGGCCGGGCAGGGGTCTCCGAACAGCCCCCGCCAGCTCTGCCCCCACCCTTCCCACAGCTGCACCGTGTCTGCCTGGTCACGACACGGAGCTGCACGGCCTCGTGTCTCAGCTGTGCCTGCTTTTCTTGTTTTAACTGGAAAAGCTGACGCACGGTGTGGTTTGTGTCCTCTGCTCCCCACGTGTGTGCCTGGCCCATAGCAGGAGTGTCCCTCTGACGAAGTCGAAGTCTCTGGTTGACCCTCTCTCAGCTTTCTGCTGTTCAAATTGTGCCTTTCAATGGGATTCGTACGTGGTGGAGTTCAGGGTTCAGCTCCCGATCCCGATGCCCGTTGTTGCTGGGATGCGCGGTGGCCTTGCTGGACGCCTGCCCTTGGCCCCTACTGACCCCTGTCTCCTTCCTTCCGCAGTTGTCCGAGGCTCCATCCAGGACGTCACCCACGAGCCAGAGCGTCAGGAGTCGGCCATCCACTTGCGAGTGGACAAGCTGTACCGGCAGAAGGGCAGGGTCTTCCAGCCGGCTCCCGAGGGCGACAGCCACTGGCAGGGGCACGTCCTGACACTGCTGGAGTGTGGCGTGCGGCCGGGGCACGGTGACTTCCTCTTCACCGGCCACATGCACTTTGGGGAGGCGCGGCTTGGCTGTGCCCCACGCTTCAAGGACTTCCAAAGGATGTACAGGGACGCCGAGGAGAGGGGGCTGAACCCCTGTGAGATCGGTGCAGAGTGACCACAGGGTGACCCGGGGCATCACCCCCTCTCCTGATAAGCCACTGCAGGCTGCCGCGGATGCTCGAATCCTGCTGGGGGCCGCACGCTGGGGTCCGCACGCCCCGGTGCTGGCTGGGCCCTGGTGTTCAGCTGTGGAGGTTCATGCCACGTTTGACCCCACAAGGTCTCAGCTGAGGATGCCCTGATCAATTGGAAATGCTGTAAAATGCAAACTAAGTTATTACATTGTTTTTGTAAAAAGGAAATGCCCACAGGAAACAAATTCCCATGTCCTAAAATGCCTTGGTGTGCCATTTAATATTGTGTTTTTAAACACATCTTAAGTCACTGCATTTGGGCTGTGTGTTGGGTGGAGTGCCAGCCCGCGGGGCACGGTGGGTGGTCAGCGAGGCTTCGGGAAAAGCCTGGGTACCGTTCAAGGCTGTTATTCTTATGGCGGAAATTTATAGAGCCAAATACTTGGGTTTTTTTGTTTTTTGTTTTTATTTTGTTTTTGCTTTTTAAAGAATGAACTTTGCCAGCTGTGGTCCTTTTCGGGCTGCAGGTTGTTTCTGTTCCAGAAAATAAAGACCAGGATCTGACCGGCAGTGGCCAGGTGTGTACGGCGCTCGGCCGGGCGCCCGTGTCAGGCCTTCTCCGGGGTTCTGTGCAGCTGCCCTGCCGTTCGGGGCCCCTCTCTGGACGTCCTCCAGAGGCCTGCCTGACCTCAGCGGGTCGTGCCTTCCCCTCGTTCCTGCCAGACCAACCTGTCCCCTCACCTGCCTTCTGCCTTTCTGTTAACCCAGGTCCTGCCTTTTGACCCCAGCTTCTCCAATAGGCCTGAGCCTGCGGCGAGTCTCTGGACATCAGGGCTGGTCTGGGCTGGGGTCACTGACACTCGTCCTCAGGGATGTTTTCTTTGGGTACTGTAACAAATCAATAGGCCTGAGCCTGCGGCGAGTCTCTGGACATCAGGGCTGGTCTGGGCTGGGGTCACTGACCCTCATCCTCAGGGATGTTTTCTTTGGGTACTGTAACAAATCGCCACAGGTCGTGGGGGCTTAAATGACCAGCTTCCTCTCTCCTGGTTCTGGACGTGCTCCCCCGAGACTCTGGGGAGGATCATTCCTTGACTCTTCCAGTCTCTGGTGGCCTCAGACATCGCTTGGCTTGTGGCCGCAGCTCTCCAGTCTCTGCCTCTGAGGTCATATGGCCGTCTCCCGTGTGTGTGTGTCTGCATCCAAATTCCCCTCAGTGGGTTAGGGCCCACCCCAGTGACCTCATCTTAACCTGATGACATCTGCAAAGACCACATTCAAAGGTTCTAGGTGGACATGAACTTTGAGAAGACACTACCCTGGTACAGGGGGTCCCCAGGGTGTCCACAGGATCTGAGCCTGTGTCCTCATTTATGAGTCAGGTGGCTCCTCCCCTGCAGCTGCGGAGACTGAAGGACAGGCTGGTGGGGTCAGTGAGGACCCTGCGGGCCGCACCCAGTACTCGGGCCTGCTGGGCGGCTCCAGCGAGGCACTGTGCACCGGCTCAGGTGGTGCTGGCACAGGTGTGAGCCCGCACAGGTCTGCAGGCCCCTGCAGGTCACAAGAAGCAGGTGCTTGTGGGAGAGGACATGAAGCAGCAGGGTTGGTGGTGGGGCTGGGTCCTGCCGTGGCTGGTTATTGTGACGCTTTGTGCCAGCAGGACGCGGTCACAGCACAGAGGTGCCCCGCCCACGGCGAGGAAGAAGCTGCACCTGCTTCTGGTCCTGCGAGTTTTCTGGGCGGCTCCGGTGGGTGTTGACAGGCAGAGGCTGCGGAACAAGAGTGTCGGGTTCTGGGGCTGCTGGCTCATGCAGTTATGGGGTGTGGGGTCTGGCAAGGACCAGTCCCTTGTGCTGATGTTGGGGAGTGGCAGAGTTCACTCTCCATGGGGGGCTTCAGCTTTTTAAGAAGTGCCTGGGGGTGGGGGCTTCTTGGCACAGAGTCTGGGGAGAGCAGGGCTTGACAGCCAGGTGAGGAAGTGTCCTCCCCTGGGCGGGGACAGGGGCGGGAGCGGTCTGAGTGCGTCTGCAGGTGGGGTCCTGTGCCGGCGGCGCGAGGGAGCCTCGTTCTCTGTGGACTGTGGGCTTAGTTCCAAGCAGAGCAGCCCCCAGGGTGTGTGGTGTGGGGGAGGGGTCCACACTTCCTAGTGATGCCGCACCCCCGCCTCTCCGTGACCCTCCCGCTGCCCCGCGCCTCCCGTGGCATCTGAGACCAAAGCGCCCGGGGCCGTCTCAGGAGGGTCCTGCTCCTCTGAGAGCAGAAGGATCCTCCCCTCCCAGAGGGGACCAGGCACTTGGAGGGTCTCCAGGGGGTCCTTCCAGCTGACCCCACAGTGACCTCTGCCACGTGGCTTTGGTGCTTCGGTGCTTTGCTGCCTCCTGGGAGCCCCAAGAAGCCCACACAGCACAGTGGCTCTCTCCTGGGGGTCTCCCTGGTTGCTGTGTGGGATGGAGCCGGGGGCACCATCCTGTGGCTCCATCAGAGGCTGAGGGGAGTTCCTGCCAGCCGCAAACACCTCCCTGTCCCCCGCGTGGTACCCCCACCCCCGTGCCTGTTCTGCCTTGGTGGCTGCCCTGCCCCGGCCCGCCCCGGGCGTCGGCGTCCCTGCCGCTCCCTCTGCTCTGCTCTCCTGAGCCTGCTGAGAGCCAGGCCCCGCTTGCTTCCTTCACTCCCGCCTGTGTGTTTCTCCCGCATGTGGCCACGTCCCCAGCGCAGGTCCTGGCCACGCTGCACGCTCTACACCCCGTCACGGCCGCAGACACCTTTCTTCCCACCGCACTCCCCAGCACGTTCCTCAGGGAAGACGGTCACAATAGGTCTCGGTCTTGCTGTTTACTGGCCCTGCCTGGACCGAGTGGCAGCCCCGTTCCCCAACGCCCTGCTGGGCGGGACCAGGGGCCCAGCTTCCCCTCCGCTCGCGGGCTGCCCAGGGCTCAGGGCCCTGTAGGGCCACCTCTCCCCACCCAACCGCCCTGCGCAGTCAGGCAGAGTCTCCACACACAGTCCCTCGTCACACCCTGGTGTGGAACCAGCTGCAGCTGTGGGGCCACGTGCTCGACTGGGCCTGGCCACGGCTCACACCTGCTTTCGTGGCCCACTGGAGCCTGTAGGGCTGTGTGTGTGGGTGTCCCTGCCCCAGCCTCTGATGGCTGCACACCAAGTTGGCCCCGGGTGCGCGTGCCCGGGAGGGACGTCCCGGGACATCCCAGGCCAGCCCCGGCCCCGTCGGCACTGCACCCTTGTTCTCCCCTCTGTGCCGGGACAGGCTGTCCCCCCCAGGCCGCTCACTCAGCACCAGACCTGCCCCAGGGGAGCCGGGCACTGTCCCCCGTAAACCTGCTGATCCAGGAATCACAGGAGGGAAAAGACAGCAGAGTGGGGTTGGCGGTGGGAGTGTGGGTGAGCGGGGCCGAGGTGGGCTGCCCAGGGCAGGGGCGTGAGCCGGGCCTTGAGGAGTGAGGGTCACTCCCGGGCTCTCCCTGTCCCCCTCCCTGCAAGACCCCCCACAGATCTGCGCCCTCCCGCTTCCTGGACTTGACGTCACCCCAGGGCTGAGCCCCATACCCAGCCTGAGAGGCTCCGTCCGCCGGGGCTTTCCAGGAGGCATCTAGCCCTTGCAGCCCGCGCTCGCCTGCACATAGCCGTGGACAGGACAGAAAGGGCGTGGCGCGGACAGCCACCGTCCACACTGCCCTAGCAGGCCCACTCAGGGTCCCGGCTCACTGGCTTCGCCACCTGGGGGAGCGTAGGGCCTCCCCACGCGTGGCTGGACGCAGTTCCCAGCCCAGGTGAGGCCCCCCATCCACCCCACAAGCTCCAAATGCTGCCAAGATCCCCCAGGACAAGGCTAGAGCCCGGGAGCCGCTGGGGGGTTGCGGCCCTCCCAGCAGACCTCACCCCTTCATTGTCCCCTATGAGGGGAAGGAGGGGACAGGAAGGCACTTCCTGGTGCCCCAGGGCTTTTCCTGCCCCGACTCCTCCGTCCACCTGTCCTTTTCCCTCCGTCAAGCCCTGGAGGTTCTCCAAGAG